AAGTATGTTTATTAGAAAAAGGTGCGAAAAGTCTTTTTGCATGTATTGCAGAAATTTATCTGAAACTTCCAGCATGCTATTTCCTTAACTGAAATCCAGTAGTTCCAAAAAAAATTCCCCTACGACGCCTAAGCCTGAAACGAGCTATAAAAAGCTGTCCAAATACGTTCAGCTGCTTGAGTCCAACAACAATCCTGTTCGAGATTCTGTAAATGCTTAGTTTATCGCATTGCTGAGGCTCGTTATGGTAGATCGTCATAAATTGCGCTAATTCCCATCGCTCACAAAAAAATTAGAATGGTGACTAAGAGCTAGTTAGTAATAGGATGTGAATGTTCAAGAAATGTTACTAAAAGATGGAATTACAGGATCTGTGGGAAAAAACTTGTTCCACAAAGGTTAATCTAGTCGCCAATGCAAAAAAAGTGAAAACAAGCTAGGAAAAATACACAAAAGAGGTGTTAAACCGCATTCTTTAGAATTTGCGCTTAATTGTGACATTTTTCTCCCCCGTGATGCGCACTAAGTGCCTCTCAAAGGTTTGCCCAAAAGCAGATTTAGAAAGTAGCTGTTTACAATCAAGCAAGGTGGTAAGCTGCTCAACCTGATTTTGAAAAAAAAAAACCAGACCGTAACTGTTTGTAGAACGCATCGACGCTTAACTACAGGTTTTCGAAGGACTTAACCCTTCACTACCCTATTGTCCTGATCAGCTCGTCGAATAAGGTACAGTTACACCTCTACCCAAGTATTTCAAGTTCGCCGTCGCCATTGTCCCCTTTTAAAGTCATACCTGTGCATTGGACAAATATTAGCAGGTTTTCCAAGAACTCGTTCCATCTTAAAGGGCGCTAAGAGCACTATAAGTGGTTGCTACTACTAATATTGTGAACATTTGCAACTGATGGCGAGCAAAAAAAATTTATTTAAAAAACCTAGCGCGGTTTGCAGTCGAGCACTCTTGAAAGTACATTAGAAAACATAAGAATAGATTTCCTGGTTAAACAGGAATGCGCACATCAGTGTTAGTCTATGAATGTGGAAACATGTTTTAATGCCTCTTGAAATTCAAACTGTGGAAAAAGACCATTTCTGGCGTTCATTGTCATTCCAATTTAAACGCCGCAAAAATTACGTTCATTTGGCTTAAATAATATCTCCGTGTAATTGAACCACGGCGAGATAAGTGAAGGATATAAGCTTTTTTGGGAAAAAAGAACATAAAATTGGAAAAAAGGAGGATTCTAGCATGGTATATTTTAAAATGTGGGTGCAGTTTAACATCAATACCTCATAAATCCAA